GTGGGTTTTGTCTATTTTGTCACTTGGTGCCCCCAGAGAAATTCCGTTTGTGATAAGTGACAGAAAATCCAGACCGATCTCACTGCCATTCAGTAAATGCTGACTCAAGGCAAGATACAACTATAACAAATATGTGCATTTCCCATCTCTGCCAGGAAGCTGCTTTCTCATGAGTGCCTACAACAGGTTCTTCACTTGTTCAGGGGGTGGATCCAGGTTTTGGGGTGTCTGTGGTTTATCTAAATTGGGGGCCCCCTTTGAGTAACAATGTTCACAAGGGCAAATACAAAATTATGTGCAGAGCCCTAGAAGGGGTCCTGTGTAAACTTCATGAGTTTCATGGTGAGTTAGCGTCTGATGCTGACAGCCAGACGGGTTCCAGCCGTAACCCTAGTGTGTCCATTCGGATCACTGTGCCTTGTCTATTCTGCTTTCTTATTTGGAAGGCTTCCCGCCCCTCTCCTCTTCAATACTTGAGTCATATTCCTCCCAGCCAAACAAATAAAAAATTGGATTCACAAATTACCTATCCCTTAATGTCTTCTTTGATTCTACTCAGCAAAAAACTCTCTCTTCCCCAAGGATCGCATGCTATGTGTAAAGTCCAGGGTACCTGTCTGAGTGTCCCTGAAGGTACATAACACGACGTCTCTATTTCGTGAGCATATGTTCTACCTTCTTCAGTTAGCTGTCCACTTCCTCAGCACGGGGACTGTTTCTTTCTTTAGTCCCCTCCTAAGTACGGATAACAATCTGGGGCGATCAGGAAGGGAAAGAACGAGGAAAGGTGGTACCGATTTGAGACAATGAGGTTTGGAATCAGGAGGCCCTAGTCTCCTCTACTAACTCTGCCGTGGATTATTGTGAGTTCTTGGGCAAGTCATTTCATAGCTCTGTGTATTGTGTTTCCTCACCCATGAAAAGGATCAAGTAATGATATTTATATCACATGATTTCTGTGCGGGCTAAGTAAAATCATTTATTTATCAAATATCTAGTTAGCCCCTAGGTGGGGCTGTTTGGGGCATCAGAAGCTTGGAATAAATGTGAAAATGCATCCTGCCTCGGGGTTCACCAAGCGAAGGTGGGAAATGGGGCTCTGATGGAATAGGATGAGGACAGACCCCAGCCACAGAGTAGGTGCTTTGTAGACAGTGGTTAAATAAATGGGTGACGTGATGAGGAAATATAGGAGTGAACATGATACATTTTGCAAAATCAATAACTGTTCACAAAGCTGCCGCAGATCCCTATTATGTAGACTGACATGGCAGCCCCGGGGAAGTTAAGAAAGGTCACGTGTGTAAGGAAGGTGACGTCAGTAGGAGAAAGAGAGTATGGATTGCTTCAGAAGAGGAGATAAGAAGAAAGCCTAAGACAGGGAAGGGGAGAACTGTGTCAGGTAACTCACCTGGCCAAGGGTACACTCCATGCCACCAAGGAAGTCGGCCTCCTTCAGCCCATTGTGGTTACTGCTGATGTCATGGACCTCAAAGCGCAGGCGCTGTACCTCTTCAAAGTAAAAGTCCACAGTAAACAGTTTTGAGTACACTGGGTTGATGCAGGTGCGAATCACCTCTGTTCTGTCAACCTGCAGGGAGAGAGAATGAGCAAATGAATCTCGGGGTACCTCCCTTGAAAACCACAAATGCCCCGCACTGAGTCCAGGCTCACCAAGGAAAATGATGAGAACATCCACAAGAAAGCACCTTAGAGAGGGAACCAGGGAGGGATATATGATTAGACATAATTTTCAAAAGATACCTCACGTTTGCAGATTGAGAGCATGTTCTATTACTAGGTAACTGAGAAGCAAGTGGATCAATTATTAGTGGCTGCCAGGAGCCTTGGGGATGAGAAAGAGCCTAAGGGGCAAGCTTGGAGCAGGAGGAAAGAAATCTGTCATTGATTCGTGATATCTGATGAGCACTGTAATGGCATCTTGGGTGTCCATTCTAGCTCATCCTATTCCAAGATGAGTTTTCGATCTCACGATGCTCAAAATAATGAAGTGGAAAGCCGTTAGACTGAATATAAAGATAACTGCCTTAGGTCTCAACTCTCCACGTTATTAAGTGTGTATCAATTCCCTGGGCTGTTTCAATTGCCTGGGTCTCAGTTTCCTCCTCAAGGTTAGAAGATGCAAAAGCACTCTCTGGGCTCAATAAATAGCTGGAGCACATGATGAAGACTATGATGCCCCTTTCCTCCTGTAGCAGTAACTTCGGTGTATCCCGCTGATCCCAACTTGCTATTCTCTGTCAAGTTCCACACTCCAGGAGAATGACCTCTGTCGGGTTACATATCTTAAGCTGCTGTGCTCCCTGAGATGTGGCTGGAATTAGGCAAGGGGAGGACTTGGCAGGAGATTGAAACGCGGAGGAGAGTGGTGTAGATAGTGGCTCCGTGCAAGACACCTACGCACGTGTGCACGCGCAGACACGCAGCTCTGCCACTACATTCTCTTGCACAGAGGGGACACTCAAGGGATCCGAGGACGCACCCTAATCCCTTCCTGCTACTGCTGACTGCTAGGCTTTGCCATCCTTTGTTAACGCCCTTAACCCTTTCTAACCGTCTGCCATCGAATGGATTCCTACTCATGCAGACCCTATCTACAGTTTCTGAAACGGAATCTCTAGAGGGACAGACAGCCTCATCCTGCCCCCGAGGAGCGGCTGATGGGTCTGCACTGCCAACCTTGTAGTTAGCAATCCAATGCTTACCTGACCGCCCCACCTGCTCACGCCTTAGAAAGAGCTTTACATTTGAGACACATCATCTGGGCCTATCATCTGTTTCCTGATGGAATCCTTATCACGAAAGAGGTTTTCTTCCATGTCTGTCACAAGTAAAAATACAGCATTTTTATTCTAGGGAGCCTTAGAGACTAACCTAGAGCTGATGGATACTTCTGCGGCATCTCCCAATTGGAGCTTCCATCTTTCTTATTCGAGAAACCAACTGGAGCCTAGATGCACTGCTGCCTTTCAGAGACAAATATGGTTTGTTGGTGACTTGGAAAGCTTCACTCATTAGCACAAATTGAGAAAACCATTTCCTCCACTTTCATCTTAGTAAAGGAGACAATTTATCAATGAAACCAAGGGAAGGTCATCTTAGACCACAGCGTGCATGTGCCACCTTCGCCAGCAAAAAAAAAAAGAAGTAATGCTTGCTGAAGCCATTCCTCCCCCTCTTGAATTCCATGTGTCCTCCCTGGTCCCATACAATTCCATGAGAAAGAGTTGTTCTTAATCAACAACACCTGCCATTCTTAGAACGCAGACAGGAGAAGGAGAATATAGTTCCGGCTAGGTTTCTGTCCAATAGATATTAAAAAACTCTTATCCACTCTGGATGAGTATTTTAAAACAAGTTACTATTCAGGCAAGGAGACTATTTGGCTATTCTGGGCTCCCATGAATACCTAGCTTCTATTGAAACAGAGGTTTGCATTTTTATATAATGCTCATTCTAGAGACAAAACTGATTATGCTCTTCTCTGGGTACAAGAATTTCCTACATTTTTTTCAGTTGTCCAGAGAACATGATTTTAAATAACAGTATAATTTTGAGGTCACAAACCACTAGTCTTCAGACTCAAGCTACCTAGAGATCTTTTATTTGTGTCACTCAAAATGTTTTCCTCTTAATTTACCAACATGAAAAAGCTGATGGGTGCCCATTCTAGCTAATATGGGTTTTCTAGTTCATGATGACCAAAGGAATGACATGGAAAGCCATTTGCATGAACACAAACATTACTGCCTTAGGTCTCAAGCCTACCCTTTATTAAGTGTGTACTGTTTACTCATTCATTTGCTCCTTTCTTAGGGAACTGGTCCTAATATCTAGTAACCTTGGACAAATTCCTAGATGGCAATGATTGGAGGTTGTCTCAAACAGAACAGTCATCCCCTAGTTAACAGGATCCATCCCAGGTCTTCTCCTCTCCTAGAATTTCCTCACCAGGAACCTAGAGGCATTTGAGTTTGCAACATCTGGTGCAAATTCATGGAACGATGAGCATATGAGAATTAATTATAGGTATGCAATGTTTTTGGATAGAAGATTTCAAAATAATCCCTAAAGAATAGTTTACAGGTGGGTCTGATGTCCTCAACTGAGACCCAGAAAGGTATCTTCTCTTTTTGGAGGTGGAACAATGGAGTCCCGTGCAGGGATAGATGAAAAGAGACAAGAGACCGAAATGTTGGGTTTTGTTTCTCTGCTTTGTTGTTAGTGACCATCATGTCAACTCAACTGCCTGTTGCTTAATGAAGGAAACGCTGGCTGGTCTGTGCCACTTCCATGAGTGTTAGTAAGTGTGAGTCAGAGTTGGCATTCTACCTTCTGATTACGAAGGTTCTGAATGTCTTCCAACTTGGTGAGGCTCATCTGAAAGCACGGTTATGAGGAGACTTCAAGGAAGTTCTTAGGAACTTTTCCTTCCATTCTTTTCCTTCCATTCTTCAATGAACGTTATGAAGCCCCTTTGCATTGAGAACACTCTATTATGATCCATAGGCATTTATTGATTATTTTTACCAGACCTTTCTTCCCATCTTAGTCTGGAATCCCTGCTGGAAACTGTCTGCCATGGGTGAATATTTTGGTGTGGGAATTATCAATAGCATAGCTTTTAGCATCAAGCAGAAAAAAGTAACAGATGGGTGGTTGGCAGAAATGGTTCTTGATTTGCAAACAAGGGGCCTCACATTGATGAAAGTTCATGTTGGCTTCAAGCCACACACTTTAGATATGTATTCAAGGAAACTGCCGTTGTGCAACAGTAAGCAACCTCTCTATACATGTTTAATTTTAGGGAAATGACTAACTGGGTACAAAGTACATAATAGTTGCAATAGATAGGTCATTTCCAAGACAAACCTTGAGCAAGTAAGAATTCCAAGAGTAGAAGTACTTAGGAAACGATGGTAGAAGAAATGCTATCAATACTAAATGCATATTTGAAAGGTGCTGTAAAATATTCAGAGGAGCCCTGGCGGTAGTGGTTGCGTAGCTTCCTTCTAAACACAACCTTTGCAGTTGGAAACCATCAGCCACTCCACAGGGGAAAGATGAGATTTTCTTCTCTCATAGAAAAATTACAGTCTTGGAAACCCACAGGGGCATTTCCACTCTGTCCTACACCTTATAGAGAAATAATTGGGCTATATGACAGGTGTATATTTATTTATTTTTGCTTTCTAACCGGTGTGCAGTGATATCTATCTGTGCTTTAAATCTGAATTTTCCTAATGATTAATGATGGAAGGCATATTTTTATATGATTAGTTATCATCTGTTTATCTTTTTTGGTGAGGTGTGTGTTTAAATTATTTTCTTCTTATGGCAACATAAGGGGTAAGTACTAGCCCTGGTCATGCAGTGGTTACACATTGGGCTGTGATTCCTAAGGTTAGTGGTTCAAAACCACCAGTCACTTCTTGGGAGGAAGACGGGGCTTTCTACTCCCATAAAGAGTTACAGTCTTGTTGGAAAGGGGGAACCGATTACAAGGATCTACATATAACCTCCTCCCTGGGGGACGGACATCAGAAATGTGGGTGAAGGGAGATGTAGGACAGGGCAAGACATGACAAAATAATAATTTATAAATTATCAAGGGTTCATGAGAGAGGGGGAAAATGAGAAACTGATGCCAGGGGCTTAAGTGGAGAGCAAATGTTTTGAGAATGATGAGGGCAATGAATGTACAATTGTGCTTTACACAATGGATGGATGTATGGATTGTGATAAGAGTTGTATGAGCTCCTAATAAAATGATTTTTAAAAAGAGTTATAGTCTTAGATACTCACAGGAACAGTTCTACTCTGGCCTGTAGGGTCGCTGTGAGTCAGCATCAACCAGGCAGTGAGTCTGAGGTTTTTTGTTTTTTGTTTCCCTTTATTATTAAAGCCTCTTACCAAGTGGCAGAGGTAGGGTTTGGGCCCGGGTTTGAACCCAGAGTCCATGTGGCTAACATCAAATGATATCAAGCCCAAGGAAATTCCAACTCCTTTGCTGTCTTGTCACTTCTGACTCACAGAAAACCTGCAGGTCAAAGTAGAAGTGCCCTTGAATTAAAACTGCCCCAAAGTCAACTTTAAACAGAGTAAGTTTATTACAATGAGTCAGGATTGTCACCCTTGAATGTTGAGTTCTATTTAAAAAACGATCTAGGAACAAATGGTCTTCAGTTATTTCAAAGCAGACATGAAAAGATCGGCCGGGTCAAGGCGTTGAGGCTAACGGGAGTGAGAAAAGCAGAACAGAAACACCGGTGTTGACACATGTGACGAGTGTCATCAATGTCACCCATCACGACATCTAAAAATTATGAAACAGGAGTGAGTCTTGCTGTGTATATTTTCACTCTCCATAAAAAAAGAGAAAGGAAAGGAACAAAATTGGTGTCGCTTACTGAAAAGTTCAAGGTTTGTGGGACATGGATGAGCTTTGATCATTGGGGCAACAGGTGCTGTAGGGGAGCCTGGCCTGGTGCAGAAGACATCATGGGCCAAAGTGAGACATGTGGGCCTCCGGGGCAAGCTTCCAATGGCATATGCCTTCAAGATAATATT